AGTGGCAGGGCTGGGATGCATGCCAGACTAGACCAGAATGTTAACATTTTCTGCTCTTGGGGACTTTCACCTGATTTTCCTTCTACATCAGGGGCTGCCATTTCTTGGGTCCCTTTGCTAGGTAGCTTCCCCAATGTCATCACCTTTGTAAAATCAACTAGATGAATGCACACACCCCCAGCCGCGCGCAAGTCCTAGGCTGGGGCGGGGCTGGCAGCCCCGAGCTCAAGGTCTTGAACTCCGCGACCAGCTCAGCTGGCCGCAGGGTGGGCAGGTGTGCGCGAGTGGTGACGGCGGGGGACTGTAAGGCGAGCAACTTGCCTCTGGGAATTAGGGGGCCACCACCTCTGCGGACCCCTCCAAGGGCCCCGCTTGGGAAGATGTCAGGGCGGGGCTTTTTTCTTATCGGGTCCGCCCAGGCTGCGGGAGGGAAGAGGAGGGGGCTGTCTTCCGAGGACAGAGCTCAGACCCCCATGCCCTTCCTTTGTCGCCCCTCCCCAGCGGCCTTGCTGGTGGCCCGCGGACCCGAAGAGCTTCTGTGCTTCACCGAGCGGTTGGAGGACTTGGTGTGTTTCTGGGAGGAAGCGGCGAGTGCTGGGGTGAGCCCAGACAACTACAGCTTCTCCTACCACCTCGAGTGAGTCCGATCCGGCGGGCGCCTCCTCGGGCGGAGGGAGCGGGTGGGGCAGAGCTCCTTGGAGGTCGTAGCCTCGGAAGTCCCCGGCTGTCTGAGGCCCGAGGGCGCCTCCAGTCGTGGTCACTGGAGGGAACCCTGCGGGTCCAGGGCTGGCACGCCCCCTATGGGCCGGGGCGCGAACACTCCCGCGATCACCGCTGGAACGCGACCCCAAACATCAGGCTGGGATAACAACGCCTCCAACTCGAGGGTTAGGCGTTACTACATCGGCGCTGGGACGCCCTCTCGAGGTAGTATCCAAAAGGAGACCAGCAGTGACTCATGACTGTAATACCAACTCTTTGGGAGGTCGAGGCGGGAGAATTGCTTGAGCCCAGGAGTTCAAGACCAGAAAGGGCAACACAGCGATATCCCCGTCTCTTAAAAAAAAAAAAAAAAAAAAAATGCCCGGCGCAGTGGCCTAAGCCTCTAATCCCAGCACTTAGGGAGGCCGAGGCGGGCGGATCA